GGTTCTCTGGTAGGTCAGTAATCTTTGGAATAGACATTTCAGTATTTTAACCGATCTAGTATATCGTCGGGTGGGGGCCCTAAATTACAATAAAGGGGAGACCTATTGTCCTTCCCCCCCCGGCCCCCACCCATGAGCTGTGGGTGGGGGCCCTAAATAAAGATGTAGGTGGAGATCTGTTGTCCTCTCCCCTCCCATGGGAGACAGGTAGGGGCTAAGTGAAAATACCCCTTCAGGTGAATAGGGGTTCCCCAGCCCCTAGTCAGCCCCCCCCACCCAAAATATTTTTAATAAAGATCTACCTACCCCCCTTTAGAAAACGAAATCTAAGTAAATAAAAAATAACTCTGTAAATAGATGCCCCACCATGATGTCTTCGTTTCTCTGAAATCTTCTTTTTTAAGCCCCCAAAAAAGCAAAATAAAAATCCATAATACCCGTCAAACTGTGAAAATAAAATAAAAAACCAGAGCGCAAAAAAAAAATCCAACGGACAAAAAGACGCTAAAGTAATCTTCACCCAGCGAGGGCACCCCTCAGACTGAGCTCCGCAGGGCGGGGGAAAGGATTATAAAGCCTACCTAGGCCTTGCAATTAGTTTTAGAGCACTCTGATTGGTTGGTTTAAGCCAACCAGAGTGCTCTGTGTCATTTTACACAGTGTGGGAAAGTTCTTTGGTCGGGGGGAGGACAATAGGCCCTCCCCTTTATTGTAATTTAGTTCCCCCATCCAACGCTCATGGGTTGGGGTCAAGGGGAAGGCCAATAGGTCCCCCCCCTATTTTTATTTAGGGCCCCTACCCGCTGTTAATGGGTGGGGACCAGTGGGGAGGACAATAGGTCTCCCCCCCCCCCACATTTTTATTTAGGGCCCCCACCCGCCGCTCATGGGCCAAGGCAGACAATATGTCCCCCGTTTACTTGAACATCCCCCACTCGTGGGGCATGGGTAGAGGTTCGGGGGGGACACTATGCCCCCCCACTAGTTAATAGATGCCCCACCATAAGGCCATTTGTTAGAGGGGGGCTTTTGTTTTTTTTCAACAGAGAGCAGCCACTGACTGCTCACTGTTTAGTAGACATGCCCCTACTCACGGTAGGGTAATTCAGGTGTTTTTAATCTCCCTTATGCTATTATGGGGGACATATCGACCCCCATAGAGTGAGGGAGGACAAGAGAGGCGTCGGAAGTGGCGGGGAGCACTGCTCCCTACCGCTTCTATTTTTATTACAAGGAGGGAGCTGCAAGCCGGTAACTCCCTCCTTGTAATAAACCAAACTAATGAATGAAGAGGTCTTCGTTCATTTATTTGAAGTTTCTATTCATTTATTTGTCTTTTTGACAAATGAATGAATAGATGAAATTCCCATTCGCATGTGCAGGAATTTCACAGCACTATCTAGTGTTGGCAGATGACGTGTCCCTTAGGGACTTCTGTTACGGTTACCTCCAGGCTATCTGGAAGCTGGACCGCTTGGATAGTCTGGTTCCCAGGTGTGGAGAGAGAGAGAAGAGCCGCTCCAGTCACTATAACACGAGAATCCAGTAAATGTAGATTAATCCCACTAGCTATGATACAGCTAGGATACCCTTTTCCCCACAAAACATGTCGAGGCTGCGATTTGAGGGTCAAGAAAGAACTGGGTTTAATGGCACACAGGTATCACTATTTATGCAAAACCTCAGGTCCAGGGACAGCCCCCTCTGGACCTGATGGGATACAGGTACAATACAAGCGGTTAACCAATAGAAACACAATGTATCTTTTGAAATTGTTACTGCCCAGCTTGGAGATAATGAATCCAACGGTTATGACAATGTAATTATCTCCAAGCACCCAAAATCCCACGTTTTCTTGCAACATACAAAACAGTATAAAAATACATAACTTTAACATTTTAATAGATCATTTGTGCATTCTACCGTTCATTATGTAGTCCAGATCTGAGCGAGGCAGATAGTCGAATAGCACTCAGAACTCACGAACGTTATGGCTAGTCTCATCGATATAAAGTCTGTTCGTGTCTTTTGTCCCGAACATGAGATGGCGGCCATGTTTTCAGGTTGGTCAATGGGCAGCGGGACCTCGACCCAAACTCATGGAATGAGTGGCGGCCAAGGATTTACATGAAACCCCGCTCTCATGATGGTTGTCCCCGCCGTTCGGGAAATGAACGGAGACCGTCGGGAAGGGGTACTTAACCTGCGGTTAACCGCAAAACCAACATTCTAATTGAGGCCACACGCCAGGATGTAGGTGGTTCTAGTTCGTGAGTCTTTCGGTAGTTTTAGTTCGGGAAATGGTGCACGAACAGGAATGCCCTGGAATCTTCAATTAGGCTGTGGTTAACCGTAGACCGGAGCTTCCTTGGCGGTTAATTAGAGGCATGCTCCGCTTGTAGGGTGGTCAGCTGTTCGGGTATTTGAAAGGTGACAGGGGTTAAGTGGCGGCACACGCCAAGGGCCGGGTAGTCCGTTGTTCGTATACACGAATGGGTAACGGGAAATTTCTTCAGGGATTAGGCTACAAAGTTAAAATACTGAAACAAGGTTCCGTGTGGAAACAGAAAGGAGCAATGTTGTAACAGTTTGTAGAGCTTTTGTAACAACTTCATCTACCCATACAACGATGGCAGCACCCAGGGCAGAAAATAAAGATAAAAAAATAGGTAATATGGGATGCTTATGGGCATTTGGAGGTGATTAGGGGGACAATTAGATGTAGTGGAGTCGGGAAGGGGGTTAAAAAAAACTGGATTCGACCATGACACTGCCACTTTAAATTGAGTGGTGAAAGCATGGTTATGTGAGTAAGTGTCGACAGACATTGGGGGTACATCGGTGTTAATTCTGTGGAGAGTCTTATGTGAGTCAAACTTAGAAATAATCTTTGGACCTAAATGCCAGGTGATAGACTCCACTGGGTTCTCTCTGGGTAAGTCCTGCTGTCTCCCGGGTTCTACTGCACCAAGCTGCATGTCAAGACATGCTGTAGGGCTTGCTGGGTCCTGCAAGCCTGTGGCTCACCTGCCTTCATCCTGATGGTAGTGTGAGCAGAGTCCTGATGTGAGGACGGGTCCGGTATGCACCACTTTGCCAGCCCCGCCTCTGCATGAGCCGACCGCTTGTGCCCTCAGTTCTGATTCCAATTTTGGCCTGTAAAAGGATTCCTGGCTGATGGACTGCGCTCAGGAGGGGAGTTGTGGTTCGAGGAACATCCTCTAAGGGCTCATGGGTCAGGAAGGCTTTCGTGGGGACCAGGTCCAGACCTTGGATAAGATAGACAGATAAGCCAACTTTATGTTGGAGGGCTCTACCGCTACAGTCCCAAGCGGTGAGGTGAGATGCCTCAGATTATCATGTTGCCTGCCAGCGGTGTGTATACTTGTGCCCGGCGTGGGCCGTTGGGCCGCCATGTTGTAGACATAGTACACGCGCTCGGGCGCCCAGCTTGCCACCTGGGGAACTTGTTGTTCCATTTCATCTGCCTCCAGTAGTGTGCCATCCAGGCTGTTGAGTATAACCCCGCTTCTTCCCCGAGTAGGCCGTAGGCTCCGAAATCTCGTACCACTGGGGCCCCGAAACTCCCAATCTCTGAGTCCATTCACATCGGCGGGCTATTCCGCCCAATTGTCAGTGGTAAGCCCATGATTTCTGGCAGTTGAAGTTCAATTTAGCAAGAGCCTCAGTGCCATGGGACTGGTCAACATGGCAGCCAAGCCGCGCCCTTTCAGCTCACTTTTTAAAGATTAGTTATTTCATCAGCACTCCAACAAAAAAAGTGAATTGTCAAGGCGGCACTTCTATGTCTTCTATGTCATTATTATTAAATCCAAAGAGGATAGTAAATGAATGAGAGCCACATTGCAAACTTAGCAATGTGAGTAATACAGAGTAGAGGTGTATGGTGTGATCATGTAACGTAAATAGGCCAAAACAGGGTCTTGAATAGGTTTTTTATGTAATTTGAAAAGAGAGAAATTAGGAATCTACACCTTGAAGAATTATAAAGATTGTTTATTACAAAAAAAGTGCACAGGAGGCGCACATGTACAATTAAACTTAGAGAAAACTTAAAAGAAGGTTGTAAAACTGAGATTAATTAGAAGAACCATTTACTATACTGTGGGGAAATTCAAAAGATGTATGAAATGTATCAAAAAAAGAAAGCTCCTAGTGATCTAGAACAGTTTAAAAAATGAATATATTAGTGCCATGCACAACATTTATGAAATCACAGCAAATACATTCTATTGTCAAAAAAATACAGTGCTGAAATATTTGTTAGTTCAAACTCCGTTTTAGGAAATTAACCTGTAACTGCGTGAGATGCTAGGAAAATCTAAAAGAAGGGTTGTAAATTTTAATAAATTAGGTCATTATGTGCTGCTTATTCAAAGCATGCTGCTAAATCTAGAAGCACATAATCTTTAATATATGTTTAACCGTTATCAGACCATGTACAGAGGATGATAATACTCTAGCATGAACCGGATTTATAAAACAATATAGACAAAACTAAGAAAAGAGGCTGTCAAGCACCAGTCGATACTGAAGTATTGAGCAAGGAGAACGGTGAAGTGTTACCATGACCAAACTATCAAATAATTCTGTGATAAAGAAGGTACAGATCTCCGTGTCAGTTCAAATAACTCAAGCACTCAAAACTTACAAATAGATAATTTTTTCCTGCTTGCTTTTATTCCTTCCAACACTGACATTAGGCGTTAATGCTTTTTTGCATACTGAGGTTTCTTGGCTGTGCAGTATTACAGGATTAATGTAAGATAAAATGGTCATTATTGTGAGTTAAAGAAAACATCATAGGATGCCCTGCGTATGCTTTTTTTTTATACCTATGCTACAAATGTATATGATCTAGTTTTACTAAACAAGTCACAGTGCATCAGGTACCTGTGCTAGTTACATGTCTGCATCATCCTAAAAATCTGGTTGTTAAGGACCACGATCCCACATGAGATATCGCATACATTTACGTGTTGACTGCATGGTTCTATAGAACTGATCATGCTAAATAAACAGGACTTTACATTTTAAGAAAAATACAACTAATGGTGAAAAAGGAGAAGACCTTCCACCAGAGTTGCAGAGGTTGTAAGATACTTAGGGCATAACCATAATAAACATAAAAGAGAGAAGGAATGGAAGGGTTAAGTTAGAAAGACAGAACCACTTGCAGACCTAGTATCCTTAGAGAGGCTCCTCTGTCATAGATAAGTTTAAATGCCTTTGTATATTAAGAGTAAAAAGGAAGCTATATATTTTTATTAATCCCTAATTGGGCGTGTCTTATTAGGGAAAGTGGCATGTGTTGAATACGGCAGAGGGAGAAGAATTAACTCCCAAAGTGCCGAAATCTTGGGAGTAAGAGCCCTTAGTAGGGATTAAGTGATTCAATAGCAAGCTCTATTTCAGCACTAGATACAGACAAGTTACTTTTGATGCATTAATGCGCATTAATGTGCAACACTTTATACAATTACTCTTAGTCTGTATGATAACTGTTTGGACGTATTTGATATAATGGTTAGTCCTATTTTAAATCACTTATTTTTTTCTTTTTATTATTATTTTTCACTATTTTGACTATTCACATTCTGTTATGTTAAAGGGAAACTCCAGTGCCAGGAAAACAATCCGTTTTCCTGGAACTGCAGGTCCCCTCTCCCTCCCACCCCCAACCCCCGGTTGCTGAAGGGGTGAAATCCCCTTCAGTAACTTACCTGAGGCAGCGACGATGTCCCACGTCGCTGCTTCTTCCTCCGCACCGCTCCTCCCTCTGATTGCATCTCGCTCCTCGAGAATGATCCTGCCCACCGGCCGGGGAGACCTAATGCGCAGTGCTAAATTGTTCAACATAAATAAAGGGAGGGTTATTTTGTACAGTTTGACCTTTATAATACAGTAAGAGCTGGCACTAAATTAAATAATTCCTTACATCCTGGAATCCAACATAATTTGGATCTACTATAAAACTTAATTGCATGGAACCGCAGCCTGTACAAAAGCTTAGAACACACATGTGTACTATTTCCTAATAAATTCCTTTGACATGCTGGTGAACACCTGCTTATAGAAGTCCCTGAGTAGCCTGGTTTATTAGTGCATTGATTAGTAGTTAGATTTTAGCAGTTATGATAATTATTTAAGTTCTATTTATCAACCAATGAGTCAGCTATGTAGAGCCTTCTGTCTGATCATAATTAGATAGATAGATAGATAGATAGATAAATAAAATTGATCAATAGATAGATAGATAGATAGATAAATCGATTGATCGATCAATAGATAGATAGATAAGAGAGAGATCTCTAGTAAATATTACATTCCAGCAGAAGAGATTCTTTTGTGAAGATTTATTCAAAACACAGTGGACTTCCACATGTATAGTGACTCTGTTAAACATGAAGCTTAAAAAAAAAAAAACAACAAAAAATAAAACACATTAATGCCCTGTGATAGGGTTGCTTACACTTCTTTCTCTATTTCCTCTTTTACTTATTTTATCTACTTCCTTATGCTTTCTCCTGGTCTTCGACCTTTTATAACAGTTTTGCAATAAAGAGAGACATCTATAATTTATTGATCTCAATTTTTGAGGAACAACATTTGTGTATTCTATCTAGATAATAATTTGATACATGCATACAACCATTCATATTTATAACACACAATTTTGATAGTACTAATATAATGTTTATTAATGTGTTAACTAAGACTCTTCTCTTTTTTGTCTTTTATTGTATCTCTATAGCTTGAAATCATCATAAAACGTTACATAAAATAAAATCTAGGCTGAAGTAGAATAAATTGACTGGAATAAAATGATACATTTAAATACTATTTTATAATATATAATATCATCCTGTAAGTCAAGGAAGTTTATTAGTTTAAATACAAAATCTAATAGAAAATACGTACAAATTTCAATGAGAAAATAAATGGAAAGAAAAAAGTTGCCTTTATTTCAAATTGTTAAAAAAACAAAAAACAAATTATGAATAAAAAATAATGCTGACTCTGACATGTTACACCTGTGAAAAGACTGTGTACAAACATCTAGAGAAACTGTTAAATTGTTCAACATAAATAAAGAGAGGGTTATTTTGTACAGTTTTACCTTTATAAATTGACAATTCACACTCTAGACCAGGGGTAGGCAACCTTTTAGCAGCACTGTGCTGATATAGGATTGTGATGTCCCATAGCGTGCCCGTCCTATTTTTTTTTTTTTTTAATCGAGGGGTGTATGCTGCCGTATTCTGCTTGTGTTATTTATACTGTAATTGCTTTGTATCGTTGTATTTGTGCGTATATGCAGGGCCATCTTTAATAGTGACTGGACCCTGGGCAAAGCATTTGCTTGGGGTCCCCTGGACCCTGTTCCCCCTCCCCACGCATGCAATCATGTCCTCCACCTCAACGCACTGGCGGACCTAAAGTAGAGAGGTGCAAGAATTTTTGGGGGTGTCCCTGTTGCACGGGTGATTAAAAGGTAGATGCCCATCTGTCGTGCAACTCCAGAAATGCATTGACAGCTGCGGCTCTACCATTTACTAATGTTTGCAGGTCTGTATTTAACAATGAGCAGTTTTTGTGTGTTTGAATGTAAACAGGTTTTTGTATGGAATATGTTTGTATGTGGTGTTGGCGTGATTGCAAGTGTAGTAGATTATTTTCTGCAAACCAATTAGTTTGAATGACTATCTGTTCCTGTCCAAATTAAAGATAATAAAGTTGCGTGCACGCAGAAGTAAATTCACACTGAGACACAGAGTTCAGGTTAATGAAAGAACTTCGGAGAAGTTTAATGGCTTCTGTTTAAAAAGCAGGCTCGCAGGCCCTTTTAAAGGCATTATTACATCATTGAAGAAAATCAAGATATAGACAAATAGACATTGTTAATTGGCTTAGGTGCTAAGTAGTTAGTAAAATGCCCTCCCTACGGGGTGTACCATCTTAGGTCACTATCCTCGCCATGATTGTCTCCTCCAGGTTTTAGCGCCATTTTGTTAACATGAGGAGCTCACTCGACGGGAGGGGCCTTTTGGCAGCTATCCATTTAGAGTGTAGCCTGGCACTGTTAGTTTCTCAAGGTTAGGTTTCAAGGCTTTTAGTAAATACACATTTTATCAAAGCTATCATTGTAAGTGGGATGCTACAGTGTTTCACACTACAGGTGCATAATATTTCTTGCTGACATGCAAATTCTATATTCTATAGACAAAGCTTTCTTGTAAAACTATGGGGCCTCTTAGAGGTATAGCAAGAGGATTTAAAGGGGCCTTACAGATTTATAGAGGCCTAATAATTCTACAACACAAGCATGTATTTGTGTACTGTTGGTTTTTGAATGCAGGGGTGTATTTACATATAATTGTGGTGTGTTACACAGACGTGTTTGTACGTAGTGTTGAAATTTGAATGCAGGGGTGTATTTGTGTGTAGTGTTAGTGTGTGAATGCTGAGATGTATGCACATATACACACACACACACACACAGATTTAAACATGCTGAAATGCGCACACAGATATACAGACACACACACAGACATGCTGACATACAAACATACTGACACACAA